TTCTCAGAATCTTTCCTTTCTGCTGCTCTTGGCTGCAAGCAGGCTTTCCACAAGTCTTAGAAAGACTAAGAGCCTGTGTAGGTATTTGAAAATATGGGATATATAACCTCAGTCCCAAGGAATAGGAACTTGTATCTCCAAAGATTTCTAAAATCCTCTGCTGCTAAAAGCGCACTCAATCCATTCTGGCATCTTCTTTAGTTTCCTGAGGATCAAATATTCTGCTTCCATATGAATGCATACACAAATTCATCATTAATGATTAAGTCTTTAGCTGACACTAATTAGTTTCAGCTGTGTGCTCAGCAGGCCCGACCTACTTCACAGTCCTGCTTCATTAGTGCTGCCAGCCTAAAACAACATCAGTAAAAATTGTATTGACCAGAAGTGCCCAGCCCCACCACTGAAGGCAGTGTGAATTTAATAAGGGTCACAGCAAACCCCAAAGGCACAGGGAGAGGTTAAAGCAGTGGCAGAAATCATCTCCCACCAGCAGCAAGCAACAAAAGGGAAAACCAAAACTCCAGTCCATTTATTCAGCACTGTGCTCTGAAATTTCAACGCCACAGAGGGAGCTCAGGCTGCAGCACAGAACAATTTGTAAGCTTGATGCTTCAAGGATATCCATTTATTCAGTCACTGGGGAGCAGCAGCGAAGCTCAGGGTAAATCTGGGGCTGTGCAGAAAAACATTTGGGCAAGCACAGACAGGGGAGAGGAAGAGGGCTTGGAAAAGAAACCTGGCAAAGGCACTGCTCCACACCTTCATGGGCTGCAACCACACAGAAAGTGAATTAAGCCACAGATTTAAGCACCTTGGACATGCCTTGAGACACTTCCAATGCAAACCAGATGCAGAAGTTGTTATCCTCTGTAACATATCTATTTATCAAGAGCTAAAACATCACTGTCACAGACATCTTTTGTGGAAAATCCTTTCTTAAGGATTTTTCCCTCTTCTGGGAAGCTGAGGCCCCAGAAAGAGAATGTAAACAATTATTATCTGCTGCTGTGAAATGCAACAGGTGCACCTGTGATTGGCCCATATTCCATGTTTACAATTAAGGGCCAATCAAAAGACCAAGCTCTCTCTGAGCGAATAAGAGAGAGCTCCTTTGTTGATTCGTTCCTTTTTTCTATTCTTAGCTTAGCAGCTTCTGAACTTCTCTCTTTATTCCTTTTAGTACAGCCTTAATGTAACTTATATCATAAAATGATAAATCCAGCCTTCTGATCATGGAGTCAAGATTCTCATCCATCTCTTCACCCCTGAGGAACCCTTGCAAGCCCGGTAACAAATCACAACTATGAACATAAGAAACTTCAAACCACAGCCCCTGACCCCTTTAAGTTTAAAAACATGGAAGCATTTAAGGTTACATTAGAAGCTAAAGCCAGGCTGCAGCAGGAATGGCCACAGGTATTTTATACCAAACATGGTTTCAACCCACTAGAAGGTTGAATACATCTTCTGTCAGGACAGAGTGAGATTTATTACTCGTGGTGGATGTGTTGCACACATATAACCTTCCAACAAAGCCTTCCAATACGACTTGGACAGATGCTGAAGTTCTCTTAGATGTCTAAACCACCTTATTTTAAGCAACACACCCTTGAAACCTGTAGCGACAGACTCCTTAGTCTTAGCATCACCACACTTGAAGAAAGAAATTCCATTTTTTTTAGGATGCATAAGAAGATAAAAGCTTTCAGTTCTATATTAGATGCTTTTGCAAGGAAAAAACTCAAACAAAAAAAAGATCTCTCACACACACACAAAATACCCCAAAACAAAGAAATAAACTAACCACAAGCAGAAGAAGACAAGCATTTGCTGATAGAAAGAAAATAAGAGCAAAATGTGTCCCAGCACTTGTATTTGAAGTGATTTAAAAAGCAAAGCAAAAGATCCCTTGTGACAATGGCTTGCTAGGTTACAGCAGCAAACAGTCCAAGGGAAGGAGCCACAGAACACTAAAAAAGCAGCAACACCAGAAGCATTTTATGTCCCCAAATAGCCACTAAGGCATCACACAGCCATGTGAACCTGCTGTCCCCTGTGACTGCCACAGGGATGTCACTCTAGGACATGAAAAAACACAACACACTCACACTGCTGCTCTCAAGGTGAAGAAAACAAGGGATGCTTAATTCCGACTCCAACATTTATAGATTCCCAAAAGTGACAGGGGAATGGAGGGTGACAGTGCCACCTCTCCAATGACACTGGACAAACCAACAGTCCACCAAATTTCTCCTCCCCCATAAAAAAATGCTAAACACTAAGTTATTAACAGAAAGTGTGTGAGAAAGTTTGCTACAAGAATGCAAACATCAGAAGGCTTAGAAAATCTTAAAAAAAAAATCAGGGTGACACTGGTGTATTTGTATTTTGCCCCAGCAGCGCCTGAGTTTGATGAACCAGTCCCCTGCTCACATGGAGGATTTCCCTTGACAGCATTTCCCAAACTCCTGCACTCCCTCCAGCAGAGTGCACAAGTCTTGGCCATCAACTGCTCCTTTGAAATCACGACAAACCTTCCATTAAAGTGTTTGCACTGTGTTTATGAACTCCATGAACTCTTCAGAAGAAGACTTTCTGCTCATCCCACCCTCATTCACACTCTCCCATCAATCCCATCACTTACACTGCCACACCTCCTGGTCTCACTGACAAATATGGATTAACAACAGTGCTGTAAGGTCAGTTTTCCTTTGAATGGAACAATTTCCCCAAATTGTGCTCCCACAAGGGAGGAGGCTGAGAGCTGGGGCACTGAAGATACAGCATGGCAGGGGCTAAACTTGCTCTGTTTGCCAAACCATGCTTTAGTCAAAGCATGCGTGACTTCTTCAAAACATGAAACAGATCAGATATTTTCTGTACTGCCCTCTGCAAATAAAACTTATTTTGTCTTATTTAACTTGGATAAATTAGTACTTAGGAAAGACCAGATCCTCAGCAGGGATATAACAAAAGTAATCAGCTTTTGTCTGACCTCTCTGGAATTAGAGATTTGCAGCAACTGAGAACCTCCCCTGAGAAAACAGACTGTGTTGACACTAAATGACACAAAAGCCCATTATCAAACAGTCACAGGGTTTATATTCATTCAGAGAATGATGCCCAATTTTTTTTTTTTTTTACTTCTTTATAGATTTCAGTGAACTGTCTTATCTAAATGAAGTTTTTATTACAGGGGACACCCAGGGAAAATTTCCATCTCACTTTCTAACTTTGGTGAGATGCAAAACTCATTTCCCAATGCAGGTACTGCAGGGAAAGTGGAACAGATGGGCAGTCTGCAGGACCCCAGCAAGGTATGACACACTTAAAGGGCTCATTTGTAAAAGCCACTTGGAAAAATACCCCATCTGCAGGAACCTAATAGTCCAGGGAGAACTTATTTGCATGATAAAATGCTTTTAAAACTCTATGTCCTTGTCTAGTTTTCCTTCAGGGATGGATTGCTGTAAAAGTCAGACTGACCATAACAGAACAGTCATAACAAAGCAAGACTGGCTGTTCTGGGCAGGTAATAGTAAGTACAGTGAGTCATCCCCCCAAAAGTGGTGTGTGAAGCTCAGAGACCTTTCTCTGCCCTTATTCTGGTGAAGAGGCACACATCCCTGACTTGTGAGTGCAGGAAATTCCCAAACACTACACACAGACTCTTTTATTCCCATGGAAAACCAAGGAATTAATTCAAGCTGGGTTTGCATGGTTGTCAGCTAAAAATATTGGAATTTTCCCTGGAACACGAAAATATTTCATCTGAGATCACAGACATAAAAACACAAATCTGGAGCCTCATTCTGACATCCTAAGAGTCCCTTTCCACAACACAAATATCCCTCACATAAGTTGAAAACATGATCATGACAGGAACCAGGACTGCATATACTGGGCCAGAAAAGAATGGCAAAGAAAAGAGGAGTTCATGGTTTGACAAAATTCCATTTTTACTGGAGCAATGAATAAATACATATGCAGCTCACTGGGTAAGACCTTACTCATAGAAAACCAATTAAAATTGAAAATTTCTCTGAAAAAAAAAAAACCAAGAAAATAATTATAGCTAAGAAACACCACAGCAGTGTCCCCACTGTGAGGGGTCTTCCACAGCCAGAGGACCAGCTTGCACCCCAAGCCATCACTCTGGGGGCTGACAGAGCAGTTTAAACACCTGACTGAACATTGCACTTCCAAAAATAGGCTTCTCAACCTTTTTTCAGACTGTGAAATGGCTCAGCTATTTCTAAATGCCACTGAATCAAACCCAGTGACATGTGGGGAGAGACACTGTGACAGTAACCTTCACCATGCCTTCCTGAGTGTGTTTGGCTTTTCTTCTTTCCTCTCAGCAAGGCTTAATCTCCCTGTCTGCCTGAACATTAATCCTCTTTCACCAAGTCCCCAACTAATGCTTGCTGCATTAAGACACTGCAAATCCTCAAGGTATAAATTACACCCAATTCAGTATAAAAGGAAAGCACGGAGGCTTGCTTCTCACTACAGCTGGTGCTTCTAGGAAGGCAAGTAGAATACAGGTAAGTTTGCATCAGATCCTGATGGAGAAATCTTTTTTTTTTTTTCATATTGCAAACTCTTAAAGTAATTAACTGCTTCTGAAAAATACATTATACTTGGCTTTTTCTCTCACTTGCTTCTTTTTCTTTGTCCTAATGGACAGGATAAATTCTCTCTCCAGAAACTTAGATAAATTTTTCATTGGAGGTGGTATGGTATTCTGTTATTATTACCTTTCTGCAGATTGCTGCCATGCCATTTCCATTGCTTAGGAAAACCAAACTCCTTGAGCAGTAAATATGAGGAAGATCCATCTCATGTCTCTGTTCTCACTGATGATTCTGAACTCTTGCTGCTATAGAGCCACTTGGGGATAAAGCAGAGACTCAATTTCTCCCTGTTTCTCTAACTACTGGAAATAACTATACATTTTGCTCCAGCTGAGCTCTACTTTTTGCTTTAAAGACAGGATGAAGACACTCAACTGCTACGTGCTGTTCCTTTGCTGGAAGGCAATTTGCTGCAACAGCTGCCAGCTCACCAACATCACCATTGCTGTGGAAAGAGAAGAATGTGAATTCTGTATCACAGTGAATGCCACGTGGTGCTCAGGATACTGCTTCACCAGGGTGAGACACTTCATTTCACACACCAGAATTGAATATTTCAAACAATGGGTGGACACCCCATTCCTGCAGTCCGTAGCAAACGCAGACAGGATGAGCCTTGTGAAAAACAGGCTGAATAACTGAGTAACACAAGAGTAGATGCACAGAGAGAAGGGTGAAATACCATCACAAAATTCAGTTAATTAACTGGCTGCATATATTATGTGCATAGTGTATGGCCACAGTTAGAAGAATTACAGTCTGCATCTATGCTTTGTGCTCAATTTGTGCTTGCAAGCAGATGCAATAAAGCAGCTATTCCTATGTAGACTCCTCTGCTCTTTCAAATAATTTACACTCAAGCAATTGACCTGAAAGATTGTCTGGTGATGGGATGACACAAATTTGCTGTTTCAGTCCTCCTGAAAGGGGAAATTTAAAGATCTAAATTAAATTAGATGAGTCAGACCCAAATGCTTTGGATCTCAGCGGCATTTTCCCATTTTATAAAAACCCTGAAACCTACCCCACAACAAATTTTAAAACTCTTACTTCCTTCCAATTTCAGGATCCAGTATATAAATACCCTCCAGTATCAACCGCTCAGCAGACCTGCACCTTCAAGGAGGTTGTGTATGAAACAGTGAAGATCCCTGGCTGCGGGGACCACCCTGAAGCTTTCTACTCATACCCAGTGGCCACAGAGTGCCACTGTGACAGCTGTGACACTGACACCACCGACTGCACTGTCAGGGGACTGGGGCCAGCCTACTGCTCCTTCAGCCAGAATGGAAGCAGCCAGTGAGGGGCACTGGGGACAGCAGTTTGGCTCTGAGTGTTCCCTGTTGGTGAAGGTCCTGTTCGGGTTTCAGTGGAAAGTAACAGGTTAGGTGCATTTAGGAACTGCCAAGACTGAAACAAAGATTTTTAAGGCCAAAAATTAAGAGCTACTGACTAAACTCCTCTTCATGCCTTCTTTACTTAACCTATCGTTTGCCTTAAAATCATTTCCATAGGTCTATCAAAAATGCTGCTTCCAATCTCTTCTGCCTTTCCCTCACTCTTTATCACAACTTTGTTATTTATATTCCTGTACTTCCACTGCCTGGTTCACAGGGATTACTCTATGCTATTCTGTACTTCCCAAGTTTCCAGTCTTTGGAATCTCCTGCTTTTCATCTCTCCTAAGAGCACACTTATTTTTCAAAGCCTTGCTTCTGTTAGCTGGACTGTAAACTTCCCTCAGCTGAGATCCTGACTCATTTTTCTTTGCATTGTGTTCCATATAGTCATCATGCTCTGCCAATAACAACAGCATGCATATTTAAGAGCCAAAAAAATCTATGTTCAAACGTTGAATGCCACCTGAATTCTTGTACTTTCTCAGTAAGGCTTGTTAGCTCAGCCTCACTGCAACACAAGTAACGTGAACTCTGCTTCAAACCTGGCTAACTTGAAGACATCAGCTCTCTGTTCTCACCTGAGTGCAGGACGCAACAAAGAGAAATGTGTAGCATTATTTAACACAGGAGTCTCAAAAATCGTTTAGGGATGGATCCAGAGGCACCTGACCCCAGCACAGTGCAGACATGGGGTGCTCATGTGCCTTGAGAGCCATTCACAGTGAATTCTTCAGAGAATGGAAATCCACAGAACCCTGCAGCAACCCAGCTCTGCAAATATCAGGATGAAGTTGGGTCTGGAAGTGAGCTGGAGGACTGACTGAACCAGCATGGGAAATTACCTCATGTTGTTGAGAAAATTATATGGAGCCTACAGAATGAGATCCTCGTGGGAAAATGAAAATTCTTCACCAGAAACATCCCCAGCACAGGCACAGGATGGAAACAGTGGATTGTGCAGCGGCCTGGCACTGCAGGCTTGGTGGTGCCAGCAGCATCCAGCAGCACCCCAGAGCTGCAGGAAAGTGGGGGTGCAAGAGCAGAGCCTACAAGACACAAGCTACCTCCAGCACTCAGCCCTGCACTGAGTGCTTCTGTCTGACAGAACTTCAGAAAGCATTGAAAAACCAGAGAAAACTCACACAAGGAGAGCGAGAATGGAAAAAAAAAAATCTTAGGAGAAAAAAAAAGATTATTTAAATAAATGTGGTTGTGTTGCTCAGGGGAGGGAACACTTTGGGAGAATATCAGCAGAACATTTCACGTGCTTGAAGACTGTCAGACAGAGAAGAGCAGTCAGCTCTCCGTGCCCAAAGAGAGCAGAACAAGCGATGGAAGATTCAGAGCAGGCACCAGCAAATCTGAAAGCTGCAGCCAGCCAGTGCAATGAGCTGGGAGAAGGAAGGGTGTGAGTGAGTGTCAGGTGTCAGTGAGCACCGCAGGGCTCCAAACACCTGGAACCTGTTGGGAATGCCAGGCAGAGCTCATTCAGCACCAGGCAGGGCAGGGCAGGAGTTACCTGGCAGCTCTGCTCTGGAGAGCCTTACAGATGTGTTTATTCAAGGAGGATTTGCCTGTCACTCTGAATCTGTCTTGTAATAGATAATAAGTGTTTTAACTTAGCTTTTTTACTAAAAGGTATTCATTCTCTTGATTTTATTTCTAAGATTCATGTGCACGGACATTTTCTTTGGTCTAGTGAAGCTTTAAAAGTGGCCAAGTACTGGATAAATCACATTGGATCTCACTCATTTCAGTTGTAAACATGAGTCAATTTCAGTTAAAACTAAGCATATTATTAATATCAGCAATTATTCCATTCTAAATGAGAGAATTGTTAATTACAATTGCAAAACAAAATAGCTTGTAGTAAAAAAGATATCTTTTTAAAAAGTATGTAAAAAAGTATGCTTTCAAAATAGATCTGTATTGTCTCTTGTGTATTTTCAAATAATAAAAATAATTTTATTCCACTTCTGTTATGAGTCTTAATAAGCCAATTTTAATACTTAAGAGTCCACCTGCCAACCTTTTTGTGCTTTAAAAATTGCATTGTTTTTTCTTCCCACATAACCAACACAGCCACCACAGCCATGTCTGCATTATTTAGCCAAATCACATCAAATAAGAAACATCAAATAGTTTAACCTGATCCAGTAACATGATCATGAAATATTACATAGTTGCAATATAGGAGTAGTGTGAATATCAATAATGATAATCATTAATATTTTATCTAGATTATAGACGTCAAAACCTGTCCAGAGCTGTGTCCACATCTGTCACAAATTAGATTGCACACAAAAGCAAAAATCCTACAGGTCTCATTTCATCCATCAACAAACGCACCACACATTTTCCTTTTGCAAACAAAACTATTCAGAACTTCTTAAAGAAGGCTGGTCAGACTTGAAGATATCTTAGCCTACATTTGATACTTTGTAAGTCAGAATTTACCTTTAAAAAGCCCAATTTCCATTGAATGCCCAATAAACTTACTTTTACGTCAGTGTTTCTGCTAGTGAAGGCACACACGAGCCACGATTATCAGTACAGATGGCATCCAAATCTGCTTTTTATTATTTAAGAAAAACATTTAAGAGGTCATTTCTGTGCTTGTTGTCTAGGTCTGTCAAGATAAATAAAGGAGAACTCTGTCAGAAGGTGAAAGCCTCAATATGACATGCTAATCAAAAAAGCAAATTGGTGATAAGTTTTTAGGAATGTTTTTAATACAGTTAGAAGTAGATTTTGAAGAACTCCTACCATGGGCTAACACTTTTCATTGAAATCAAATGGCAAAATATTTTCCAACATGAACAGAACCACTCTGCCAACAGCAAACTTTTCCATAACTACATATTAATTCCATTTTTAATGTCAGGCTCTGCAAAGAGACCTTGGAATATGCCAGACTTCAGCCACCAGCCTGCAAAATCTAATGTTAGAAGCAGTAAAAATTAAAATGGACTGATTTACCCCCTGGTGAAGGCAAACAGCACAGAGGCAATGCACAGTGTTGGACTGAGGGCCACTGAATGCAGGATTCTCTGTGCTGCAATGAATGAATGCCCAGATGTGTGGTTAAAGTGCAGGCAGAGTGTTCATCTGGGGGCAAATTAATGTTCTCTGTCATTCCTTGTGCACACAGCCTGACCTTGATCTAAGGGGGGCTGTGCTGGGAGCCCTCCAGATGTCAGGGTGGGAACACAGAGTGCAGCAGCATCCAGAGCCCTCCCAAGGAAATGACCAGTTAATCCCTTTTAGTGCCTTTTGGTGTGCAAAACACAGCCTGGTTTTACTGATTCACATTCCTCACCTTGAGGGCATTAATAAAGCATTGATGTAATTAGCATCACCAAGCTCTTGTCAGTGCTCAGCTGTCATTCCCAGCCTAAATAAGTCATTCCTCCTAGCTTAAAGCAGGCTTGCATTTGCTTTTTTTATTTATATTATATATAATATACATATTAAATATATATATATATTATATATACGCATTATACTATAGATATTTTCAAATAAATACAATGTAAAATACAATGTAAAATACAATGTAAAATACAGGACTCTACTTTTTTGCTTATTTTTGCTCCTTTCTTTTGCTTATTTCATCAGACTGCATTTTTTTACCACAAGCAAGAAACATAAATGTCCTCTCCCTGTATAAACCCAGCTGATGAATAAGAACTCACCAGCCACTCACAAATCCTCAGACAAATCCAGCCTGAAGCAGAGCTAATTACAAATGGTGGAAAACAGGAATGTTTTTGACCAGAAATCTGGTCAAAAGGAGAATCAGCAGCACTGTTGGCTTGGGGCTGCATTAATTGGGACTATTTAAATGGCAAGGGGAAAGGCACTTCAGCCTGGTGTTCACATGCCATGCTCCTCTTCCACCCTCCCAGCTCAGCAAGGCCATTCAGTTTTGTCAGTGTGCAATATTTAGCCACATATTTTCTTTTCATTTCAAAAGTACAACTGGAATCTTAGTTGAAACTACCAAAAAACCTGAAAAAAAGCAGCTAAACAGCTAATCTGAAAAATTCATTTGGAGAGGGCAGCCTTGAGATGAGTGGCTCCCCTCCGCTCAGGCAATGGGATCTATGAAATTTTTCTGGGTTTCTCATGTTTCTCTTCAATTTATGTTATTAACATGGGCTCTCAGAGCCTTGGTCTGTCAGCAGGACTTATGCTGATAGACATTACAGCAGCTCACAAGGCTACAGTCTGGGAAATAGAGCAAACCAGACTCTGGAGAAAGGACACCCTCCCAAGGAACCAAATGTCAGTGCTGCATTCTGTGTAGGTGGGAAGGCAAAGCATTAACCCCCTGTGCTTCACAGCCAGTAACCATCAGAGCTCTGAATTCACTGAGAAAATATGGCAGGTGGGTCAGATGTACTTCTGGCACTGTGCTATTCTGTGTGAAACAGATATTATATGTAAACATTGTTCTGTGTGAAAAAGTAAACCTAATTATGGAGCTAATATGTTTGGATTGCATCAGCTGCAGATGCATTCATTAAATAATGCTAGAGACAGATGTATTATTCAGTCCAAGCCCTAAACTATTCGTAAAATGACAATATTCAAGACATATAACTTAATCTAGCATTATCCAATGGCTTGCAGACAAACCTTTGAAAAATTTAACCAATTCACTTTTCCTTCATGTGTTTACATTTAATTTTCATTCAAAAATCATCCTCTCGTTCATAGCCTCCTTCTTTCATTACACAATATTGGCAAGACTTGATGTTTTTGTGAATGCTGTGGAAAATCCCAGTCAAAATAACATGATCACAAAGAAAAACCTTCAGGAGGTAGAAAGAAGATTTTTGGATCAGACACTCTCAAAATTTATATCAAAGTGAGGCAATGGGTTATGGACAAGCTCTAA